AATATATATATCTCACTAAAGTTAAGGAAAAGCGTCGGTTGTGCAAAAGTTCCCCTGTGCCTCTTCATCTCCTGGGAGGCTCCCTGGAAGGGCTCTGCCAGCTGGGCTGCTTGAGAGTGCTTCCTCCTAGCTCTGTGGTCCAGAGCGATGGTGGCCATCTATCTGGATGTGTCCATGTTCTCCTCCTTAAAGTTACTGCAGTGCTCAATCACCTTGCTAGAGACAAGGAGGAGAGAAAAGATTGGAGGGTGGGCTGGGGACTGGGGTAATCAGGTTGCTGGGTGAACAAAAGTTGACAATGCTGTTGGCTGAGATGATGTGTGTAAGTGGCTGGCAGAGTAGCCGACATGTGCAGGGCACCAAGACATGGTACTTGCAGTCATGAATATTACCACTACCCTGTTGTCTTCTTCCCTGTGTCCCTCTCCTCCCACCTCACAGTCCCAGGGCAGCTGTGGTTAGGAGATCCCCTGAACCAGCTCAGGCCCAACCTCCAAACCCCTTTGGTCCTTTCATTAACAACCCTTCCTTCTTCATGTTCCCCAGGTTCCCAGACCATTTTCTTTCCAAAAGTCCACTAGTGGTATCAATCCTATCTCCTCTGTATACAGGGTAGATAATGATGGGAAACTTCAACATTGGCTACCTAAAGTGAGGGGATGATAAAGGCACAAAGTGACTGGCTTACAAGTTTTCAAGAGGGAGTTTAGTTTCAGAGTGTGCAGAAGACGATAGAGTCCCCACTGAATAGTTTTCATCTTGTCTATATGGGTCTGGTAAAAAGAGATGGGGATAAGATTCTTATGATTCAATAGTGAGTGACTATTATCATGACTAATTACGACTGAAAACTGTAAAGGTAGACGTTTTGTAACAAAAAGGGAAGAGTAGTTAATCTTACAGTCCAGAAACAAAAGACCCTAGGACCATCAAGGGAGAAGAGCACAAGCGGAATGCGGGACCCTATCCAGAGAAGCAGTAATACCAGAGATGGAGGCAGAGATGAGGGCATGGAGACAGGGAGCGGCTGAGGATTCAAGACTCATGGAAAGAGAGGGACTGAGTGCTAGCAACCAGGAGATAGGCTTGCAGAATGTGCCCTTTGGTGGTTTACATTATTATATATTCCTGAGTGGTTTTGTGTACACCCCCCCACTGCCCCCCAAAAAACACAAAAAAATAGAGGGAATGGAAGCAAGTACTGTTGAATGATGATGCACAGAGGAGATTATAATCATTGCAATGAAACGATGGTGTAAAGCCAATGTTCTCCCATGTAAACTATTACTCAGTTCACACACACACACAAAGTTCACCAGTGATCCTCAGACTGACTGCACATTAGAGTCACGCAGAAAATCTAGACACAGATTAACCCAGAGATGCTGACTTTAGCAGCAGGGGTGGGGAAAGGCTGGGAAGCTGTGTTTGCATAATGACCATGATGAGCACAACTCTTGGGAACCACTACTCATGCTCACAGTGACTTTCTTTCCCATTCCAAACTGACCCAATTATTGTCAGGTGTCACTCCAGATGGCTCAGCCTTCCTGTTTTTGTGGGGAGGGGATTCATTGCAGCTTCAAGGCACTAAAGAGGTGCCCAATATCTTTCAGAAAGTAGAAGCCATGGACAAGTGGAATGTCTTCTCCTAAGTGTCCACAGGACTAAACTGTCATTCAAACCTTGCTGTCAAATAGGCTGACCAGTTCAGATACACATTTCAGGTCTTAGAGAAATGTTTAAAGTGACTGGGATAAGGCTTGCCTATTGGGTAGCCTGATTTAAGGACATATGTTTATTTGCATTTTTTAACAAAGTACTAGCAGCGATTTTGGTGACCAGCCAGGTTGGAGATCAATAATAATAGATGTCAACCAAGCAGAACCACCAAACTCTCCTACTACTGGGTGGTTTCATGTTCAAACTCCAGCAAAGAACATTCTAGTGTTTCACACAGTGCTTCTCAATTTCTTGGAATACATGTTATAAAATAATATTTCTAGGTTCACTGGAAAAGAAAATGCCTGTACATTTTGAACAATCTTTCCAGGTGACCTGTTTGAGAGATTATGTTTGGGAACCACTCATTCTACCTTCTGAATTGCAATTATTTTCTAAGCAGTTTCTTTTGATGAAAATAATGGCAGAACCAGCTGATGCCCCCCAAGCCTGGTGAGCTGTTGTCAGCAGAAAACTCTGAGCTACAGAACACTCTCTCCCCCATTACTTTTTAGTCTCTACCATGTTTAGAACTCAGACAAAAGTTTATTAGGTTGAACATAACTATTTTCTTTTCTAGATTGAATGTGGAACAAAGAAAGTTAGTTACTGCTGATTCTGACATGTTGGGTCTTTGAGTCTCTTTTCTGTGCTGACAGATGTTAAGACTCGGGGCTGATGTGATTTTTTTCTAAAATCACACAGCAATCAAAGGTCTGGCAACTCTGTTCTGTCAGTGATTTTTGTATTCAGAAACTTACCTGCACTCTGCCCTCTTCTGATCCCTATGATCTATTTTACCACACTGTTCTTTTCTTAGTTGGAATGCCTTTGGCCAAAAGGAATGAAAAATTCTGACCTGGTATACTAATGTCCAGTGGTGACAGAAGGGAGATTGGCAGGCATAAAGGAAAACTAGGCTTAAACACATCACGTATTAATGCTATCCCCTCTGTATACAGGGTAGATAAGGACGGGCAACTTCAACTCTGGCTACCTAAAGTGAGAGGATGATAAAGGCTGGAAGTGACTGGCGGCTTACAAGGTTTCAAGAGGGAGTATAGTTTAAGAGTGTGTGGGGGAAGATAGAGTCCCCACTGAATAGTTTTCATCTTGTCTAGCTGGGTCTGGTAAAAAGAGATGGGGATAAGCTTCTTATGATTCAATAGTGAGTAATTGTTATCATGACTAACTGCATCTGTGAAAACTGTAAAGGTAGACATTTTGTAACAAAAAGGGGCAAGTAGTTAATCTTACAGTCCAGAAACAGAAGACCCTAGGACCATCAAGGGAGAAGAGCACAAGAGGAATATGGAATTTTATCCAGGGAAGCAGCGACACCAGAGATGGAGGCAGAGATGGGGACATGGAGAGAGGGAGCAACTGAGGACTCTAGACTCATGGAAAGAGAGGGACTGAGAGATGGTGGCCAGGAGGCCAGACCTGCAGAATATGCCCTTTGGTGGTTTAAATTATTATATATGCCTGTTGTTGTTAAGTACCGTGGAGTCGGTTCTGACTCATAGTGACCCTGCACAGGGTTTCCGAGGCTGTAAATCTTTACGGGAGCAGAACGCCTCATCTTTCTCCCGTGGAACCGCTGGTAGTTTCGAACTGCCGCGCTTGAGGTTAGCAGCCCAATTCGTAACCACTACGCTACCAGAGCTCCTTGGTAGCGTAGTGGTTACGAATCGGGCTGCGAACCTTAAGGTCAGTGGTTCGAAACTACCGGCTGCTCTGCGGGAGAAAGATGAGGTTTCCTACTCCCTTAAAGATTTACACCCTCAGAAACTCTGTACAGGGTCACTATGGGTCGGAACCGACTCGACAGCACTTAACAGCATTATATATGTCTAAGTGTTTAAAAAAAAAAAAAAAAGCTAAAATGAATAGAGAGAAATACTGTTAACTGATGGTACATGGAAGGGATTATAAGCATTGTAATGAAAAAAAGTATATGATTTGTTGAATGTAAAACTGATGATCTGCCCTGTAAACTTTCACTCAATTCACAGTAAAATCTTAAAAAACAAAACAAAACTAGGTTTATAAATTTATGACTCTGAAGGATAATTACTGGACTGCTAATTGCAAGGTCGGTGGTTCAAACCCATTAGCTACTCCTTAGAAACGCTATATAAGTTTGCCAAGAGTCCAAACCGACTCAATGGCACTTAATAACCATAAAAACAAAGCTTATAAATTAGGGCAATAGTGTCCCATTCAAAGCTTGATCATCTTAGTTGATGGCCACATTCTGGCCAACGTTATCACTCATGGAGTCCTAAGCTGAATTATCAATGCACTGTCCACCTCTACCACTCAACCCCAAGTTGCCCCTGGGAATTTCAGCCTTTCCTAGCCTCCAGAGGTATCCATCAATTCCCCATGGTGTCCCTCAAGTCCCCTAAATCAAGGTACCAAGTAGAAACACATTGCCTGTGTCTTACCGGGCCATTTCCTTGGTCTCCTGCCGCGCAGTCACCATGTTGACCATGTCCCTAAGAAGGGGCATTCCACCTTCCTTGATCAGCAGAGGGCAGTATTTATCCGCTGCAGGGGCAGGACAGATAAGGCACATTATCAGGGTGGTTCTTCTATCAGTCTGAGGCCTAGAAACCCATGCTTGATCTGAGTACCACCGCCCCAAAAGGGAAGGATGAAGATGCAGGCCTGGGCAAAGGACAATGGTGTAACTGGAAGATGGATCACACTTGACCCAGCTGAGGAGAAGAGTTCCTTTGTCCACCTGAAGAGAAGCAGGTGGTAAGGCCTTGGAAAGGGCTCTTGCCTACTTTGGCTTGGCGTGGTTTTCTAGATCTTGCCCTAGAGAAAATACCACCCAAACCAGCGTCTCAATGACATGATGATCCTCCGGGAAGTCTGTGAAAATGTAGATTCCTAAGGCTTGCCCAATGGGTAATAGATCCAAGGGCAAATGTTTATAATTTTTAACAAAACACTACCAGGTGATTCTGGTTACTAGCCAGGTTGGAGATCAATAACTAATCGATGTCAACCAAACAGAACCAGCAAGCTTTCTTCCTGGGTGGTTTACTTTCTAAGCAGTTTCTTTTGATGAAAATAATGGCAGAACCAGCTGATGCCCCCTAAGCCTGGTGAGCTGTTGTCAACAGAAAACTCTGAGCTACAGAACACTCCCTCCCCCATTACTTTTCACTCTCTACCATGTTTGGAACTCAGACAAAAGTTTATTAGGTTGAACATAACTATTATCTTTTCTAGATTGAATCTGGAACAAAGACAGTTAGTTACTGCTGATTCTGACATGTTGTTCTTTGAGACACACACACACCACACACACACACACCAGCAAAGGACATTCTAGTGTTCAGCATCCAGGGCTGTACATGCCACAGAGAACACTGGCATTTTACTCGGACCTCCAGCAGATCTATGCAAAAGGAGCTATTTCTATAACTTCCATTTTTATTTTTTCTTTGAGGTTCAGAGAGGTGAAATAATTCATGCAAAGTCATCCCAGAGTCCTGTCTGATGGAGTCCCAGCTCAGGTCTCGTTCCTCTATGCTGCCCTGTCCTCTTTGAGGTAAGGTGCTATTTTTTTTCTGTAAGACTAACCTCAGAGTAATCATATACTGTTTATTGAACAGTTGGAATGTGCCAAGCAGTGTTTCTAACCACTTTATGTGTCTTATTTCACAACAACTCTATGAGGTTTATGCTATTATTATTGTATTTTAAAGATGAGGAAATTGAGGCAGACAGAGAGGTTAAGAAATCCATCCAAAGTAACATAGCTAGGGCAGAACCAGGTTTCAAATTCAGGCAGTCTACCTTTAGAGCCTGCACTCTTATCCACTCTGTCAGTGAGCAGGACAAAGCAGTCATGATGGTCCAGGTACCAGGCTAGACACTTACTTTGGTCTTCTTTTCACGTCACTTACGGGATCATTGTAAAGATGAGGAAGCAGAGGTACAAAGAGATAGGTGTTATAGCTACCCTTATAGGGTTTCTGAGTCTGTAAATCTTTATGGAAGCTCCTGCAGAGAGCCTAATGCTTAATCCACAGAGCCACCAGGGCTCCTTAAGGTTATCCCCATTTTAAAGATGAGGAATCCAGCTCGAGGTCACATAACTAGTAAAAAAGAGAACTAGAGGTCAAACTTGATCTGCCATCAAAATCTCTTCACTCTGCACCCTCTTTCTCCTCTCCCCTCAAAGCTGTCTCTGTGTAAGCAGAAGCCAATGCAAACTCTTCTATATGAGTGCAGTATTCTCTTGGAGGAAACCAATTAGAGTTGTTTTAAAGTTCTCTCTGATGTCTGTTTCCTCAGGGGTTAGTTCTCCCTTTTAGGTTGGTCTGACTCTGTCATGTAGAAAGCTCCTCTCAGTGCCAGGTGATTTTTGGCTATTCACTCACACTGAAGCAAGGAAGCCTTCAGAAAGCTGTCTGGGAGCTCTGCCAGGCCTGCTACTTCTGTATATCTTACAAATCCAGGAAAGGGAGGGCTCTGCTCTGAGGTCCAGTGTTCATACCAGCCCTTTTAATGTTTCCCTCCTGGACTAGATAGAAGCTCCTTGAGGGCAAGTCAACTTTCAGGTGGTGAGTTTCCCTGTGTCTGAAAAAAAGGCAAATGGGTACTCACGGTAAACAGACACAAGGTTGTACAGGGCCCAGGTTGCCCAGTGCTGACTGACAGGGGAGATGCCCTGGGGAAGGAGGCGAAGGATTGGCTCAAAGGACCTGAAAGGAGAGAAATCAGGGTCACTTCTAATGCTTGGCAGGATAGAGGAGTCTTCTTTTGTCCAGGGTTTATCCTTCCTGAACAGTCCTAAGGGCATACCATGAGCAGGCTGTAGGGGAGAAGGGAACACTTGGGCCTTCATCCCTCCATCAGGTTCCTTGACACCTTGGATTCAGACTGCATAAAAGGAGCTCCCTTGTGGGAGGGGCAAAAGAATGAACACGTAAGGGAGGTTGAGGGGGACGCAGGTTAGGTGATGCAAAAAGCTGAGGACCTGAACAAAGAGGAGAGACCCAGTCTTGGCTGGAAGGCAGAAGAAAGTATGTCTGTACTGACAAGAACTGGCTGCAGACATCTGGACTCAGGATCTGAAACCCTGAAGAATATATATACAAACCCTCTGGCCAATGATTCTACTTCCTCCCACTTCAGGAACTAAGGTAACTGGAACCTGGGCAAAGCAACAGAATAAGCCCGTTCCTCCCAGTGTGGGTTTTCAACTGAAATGTACAACAGCACAGGATGGCCCATCCACACTACCAAATGACAAGGGAGACCCAAACCTTGTGATTGGAAATTCAGTCACAGTATAGTAACAACAGTGAGGTTGGCCCAGGATTGGGCAGTGTTTAGTTCTGCTGTGCATAGGGTTGCTATGAGTCAGTACAGACTCGATGGGACCTAACAACAACAACAACAACATAGTAAGGGTTTGCATTAGGCCATTAAATCTGCACATGGCTAAGAACTGGAAGGAGAGACGTCTTTGGAGGAAATAATAAGACAGTGACAGGCTCACTTTTAAACGATGAGATGATGAATAATTTCTATTTTATTTCCTGTATCTGTACTTTCTCCTTTTACCACAAATAAACATCTATTAAATGTATAGAAATTTCTCAAAATGATTTATAAAGAGCAGACTTTGGTAATGATATACATGAGAAATGCCCCGGTTGACCATGTACATTGTATACTTTCTGCTTTTCATGTATGTGGGCTTTCCCTTTGCATATGAGAAGAAGAAACCAGGAGAAGACTAGAAGAAAGGCAGTCAGCTCTGACTAGACTGCTCAAGATGGGCCTCTTGCTCCAATTCCCCTCCCGCTGCCTACCAATGCCCTCCATGGACGCACCTGTAATTGATGTTTCTCCGTGAGTTGATATCCCAGCTCTGGATGGCTGCCCACATACGCTCCTCCACCTCCTCCCGCTGTGGTTCACAGATGCCCCAGGCCTCAGGCCCATCAAACATGACGTGGGAGAGGACCCCACAGGCATTGTAGGAGACCTCAATCCCATCTGCCTTGCTCTCCAGTAGGTTGCTGCCAGGAAGAAGAGAGAAAAGTGGTCTCACTCTCCTCATCCAGCTTCAGGTTATCAGTTGCTGGACCCCAACTTAACCCCAGATGCCAGAAGTAATAACTATTTATAGCTTATTATCCATAGCCAGACTACTTTTCAAAGGAATTTGAGGGTGCTTAAGATACAGCAATACGATCATTTAATGGAGGGTTGAAAGAACAAGAAACCACATTAGAGAGGGAAGGTGATATTTATAACAGAAATTGAGGCTATGAGGAGTTGCTATAATTGAACACAGATTTCAGCTCTGTTCATCCTGGCAACCAGTGCAAAAGAGAATGGAAGGGATATCAACCTGAAGACGCTGATGAATTGGGAAGTCATCAGCTGAGGCCGCAGCTCCTTCACCTCTGCCACATTCCCCAAGAGGCCTAACATGTTCCGATGTAGTTCCTGCTTCTCTGGAAATTCCTGGCAAAATAAGGGCCATTGCAGCCACGTCTATTAGTACTTAATTACTTAGTCTGGTACTATTACTTAAAAGCTTTCTGGGTATCTCCCTGGTCACTTCAACTAAACTGCTGTTGTTGTTGTTGTTAGGTGCCGTTGAGTTGGTTCCGACTCGTACCAACTCTGTAGAGGGTTTCCGAGGAACAGCTGGTGGATCGGAACTGCCAACTTTGAGGTTAGCAGTCAAGTGCTAACAGTTAGCAGTCAAGTATCCCACAGCACCACAGCACGGCTCAGCTAAAATGAAAAGGATACACTGTGCACCTGCCATATTTTAGTGCACCTAGGAGTCCTGGTGTGGCGCTGGACTGCAAAGTCAGTTTGAACCAAAAGGTCAGCGGTTCAAGCTCACCAGCTGCTCCTTGGAAACCCTATACAGGGTTGCTATGGGTTGGAACTGACTCGATGGCACTCAACAACAACAAGGATAATGGCGGGACACACTATAAGGGACTAAAAGGCAAAGCTGACCTATAAAGCTGTGAGCAGGATAAATGTAGCTCTAGTTATCAAAGCTCCAAATATCAGTGTATGAGAACTCACAGAGCCAAAAGTGGAGCAAGGAAAATAGAGAATGAGTTTTGGGATGAGCAGATCCCTATTGTGGTTGTTGTTGTTAGATGTATCACGTTAGTTTCAACTCATAGCGACCCTGTACAGGGTTTCTGAGACTGTAAATCTTTGTAGGAGCACAAAGCCTCATTTTCTCCTGAGGAGTGGCTGGCGGGCTCAAATCACTGACCTTGTGGTTCACAGGCCAGTGTTTATCCTACAGAGCAGACCCCTACTGGACAGAATCCTGTCCTCTGTCTAGCTAATGTCCCAGTGGACCTCAGTCAGCTCTGGGCAGTTTGAGGATTCACTGCTGACTAGGTGGGGCTGGGTTTTCCCTTGAGGGAGGGTTCCCAGAGAGGGGCATCCAGCTTATCTGGCTCCGGGAAGGTTTCTGGAGTCTCTGTTCCAGCACATCCTGGGCTGGTGGATCCCAAGTCTGCCCCCACTGGCTTTGAATGGGAACCATGGTGGCGGATGGTGCAGGTTGATTTGCTTGGTGGGAGAACCAAGAGACAGAAGAATGGCCTTGTCTGGTCAAGGAGCTGGAAGTAGGTGTTACCTTCAGGCAGTCCAGAAAGAGCTTCATGCCATTGAAGTTGAGGAACATCTCACAGTTGTCAGGTGTCTCATCTGTGATGTTCCACAGGGCGCTCCAGGAAAACTCCATCACCTGGTCACACTGCAAGGGGGAGGGGAGGGCTCAGCAACACTTCCCTGGATGGGTCCTGTAGGTTCCTGGTACCTGGTGAGGGGGTCCCCTGACAAAATATGGGGCCCTCCAGGAACAAACCAGAAAGAGGGACAGAGTGGCTTCATGTAGAGTTGACTTACTATCTTGTCCAGCAACTTCTTCTGAATCAGCTTCAGCATGGTCTGTGGGCAAAGAAGAGGGCTTGCTGGAGGGCCAGGGCTCAAGAACTACCAAGTTCCCCAAGACCCCAACACAGACATTCTGGAGAGATAGTGGTTTGATTCCTGGTGAAACATCCTGACAAGATCAAATCTTAGTATCTATTTGGGAAGCTGTGTGAAGACACTCAGTCCACAGACCCTTAGTATTTGACACCTACAGCGTAGTGGCTGCTAACCTCAAGATTAGCAGTTTGAAACTACCAGTCATTCTGCAGGAGACAGATGAGGCGTTCTGCTCCCATAAAGATTTAAAACCTCAGAAACCCTATACGGAGTCACTATGAGTTGGAACTGATTCCACAGTATACCACTACCACGTGCTCATCTGGTATGTCCCGATGCCCATGTGACTTTGGGGATAACTCTACTCCTCTCTGGGCGTCAGCCTCCCCAGAGATAAAATGACAGGAGATCAGATAACTCTCTAGTCCCTCCTCCTTTCCTTCAGCAAGCTTTGATCGTCTTCTAATGCCCTATGCTAGGGTGGACTGAGGACATCATAATAAGAGAAACAGGCATGGTATCTTTTGTCCTTGGTAGTGCACAGCATGTAGGAGGGCCGACATTAGTCTCTCAAACACCAGATGGCATAATGGGGCACTCAACTTGTCTGATGAGGCAGGAGTGACTTGTAAAGTGGGACCTCATCAGAGGATGACAGAGTATTCTAGGTGAAGGGACTCTACAGGCATCTGAACCAATATTGACCATGAGGAAATTCTTCCTTTGGTCTAGCCTAAATTCCCATGTTTCACCTAAGCCCTTCCTTCCTCCTCACAATGGGCTCTCTCTCCTCTGAGACTCTCCTCCAAATTGGAAGGGTTGTGTTTAGAATGTGATGGGAGAGGGCTCTTTAGTTACTGGGTGAGAACCAGGGCAGTAGGGCTATGGAGGAAGAAGGGGATAGAGAAGAGGGGTTGCGCACCCTGCACGTACCACAACAAAGCCCATCTTGCCTACAGCTTCCTTGTGATCATTGTCCACCTGACAGACCAGGGCATTGCACAGGTGTACAGCGATGCGTTGGATCGACTCATCCTGCCGTGTGGGGTTGAGGATGCTGAGGAGGAGCTCATTGACCCGGCGGTACTGGAATTCCAGCTCTTCAGGAATGCTGAAGTTGCAGAGGGTCAGACAGCAATTCCGCTGAACCTAGGCTCAGGACAGGAGACAAGCAGGACACATTCAGGCTCTCTAGAGACATGTGATCTTACAGAACTGTGGTGATACAGGAAGACTTTCTCAAAGAGTCCACTTGTTTTTGTTAAGCGCCGTCAAGTCGGTTCCGACTCACAGCGACCCTGTACAGGGCTTCTGAGGAGCGGTTGGTGAACTTGAACCACCGACCTTATGATTCAAACCGACCTTGCAGTCCAGCGCATTAGCCCACAGTGCCACGGCAGGACTCCATAGGAAGTCCATGATAAGGCTTTAAAAACAAAATTTTTAAAAAAGATAAAATTCATATGAATATTCAAAACACAAAAATGTACAGTTTTACAAAATCATTATAAAGGAAACCCCCATGTAACACCTGAATAAAAATAAAACAAAACCCACCACCCAGAAGTGCCCATATGTCCCTTCCTGATCATAAGCCCCACCCTCCCCACTAGAGATGACTATTAGCCCTGCTATTCTGCATGTTCAGTCATAGGGAAGATGAACTCTGTTGTTATAAGTAGCTGAAAGCCACTCTTTTTTTTTTTTTTTTTTATAGTATTCCATTGTGATGATACTCCATGTTAAAGCTGATGGACGTTGGGTTGACTTCAGTCTTGGGCTACTGTGACCATGCCTCCTGGAGTTGTCATGTACATGAGCTTCTTTAGGACACACGTGTCAGGGAGTGGAACTACTGGGCCATAAGTTATGCATATCTCCAACTTTAGTAGACAACACTTAACAGTTTTCCAAAGTTGTTGTACCAATTTATACTTTCATTAGCATCTCTGACACCTCAAATCTGCACATCCTCACTTCTTTGTCTATGAATTTATCTTTTTACAGTGAACTCAGTGCTTTTTCCCCTTATAATTTCCTTTCTTTCTTATTAGATACTGAAGGTACACCACACTTCATTCACCATGTCATTTGTAGGACATCACCTGTGGTAACTTTCTGTCTTTGTCTTCCCCAGTAAAAATTTATTGTAGCTGTTGTTGTTAAGTGCTGTCAGGAAAGTTCCCTGGATAACGTTTCTGAGGCTTTAAATTTATGTGGGGGCAGAAAGCCTCATCTTTCTCCTGTGGAGCAGCTGGCAGGCTCAAAGTGCAGACTTTGTGATTCATAGTCCAGTGCTTATATTTTTTTACTTTGACAATGAAAAAAATTTCTTTAAACACTTATTCATTGTAAAAGGTTAAAATAACTAAATCGAAACAAATGCATGTATCATTTTAGTTTTTTTCAGTTAGTTGCCCTCCAAAAAGGCAGTCCAATGTACACCTCACCTGTGAAAAGTACATAGTATCATCAATCAATCTCTTGAGCAGCAATGTGTTATTTTGTTATTTTAATCTCCATTTCTCTGAAAGGGTTTATTCATTTGTTTGGGAATCTTTGATGAGCATTTCTTTCTTTTTAAAAAAAAAAAATTTAAGGCAAAAGTACATCTCTTTTACCTGATTATAAAACCTATCTTAATGTAGAAAGAACAGTCACTCTAAATTCAAGACAGTGGAGAAGGGGTTGATTTCACTTCTGAGGAGGGAAGATAGAGTACCACAGCCTTTCTGGAGGACGAACAACACATGCTTCAAAAATATACATACTCTGCCCTAGCAATTCTATCTCTAGAAATGTATAATCAAAGGTTATCAGATATGTGTATAGTCAACACAATGTTGTTAGAAATAGTAAAAAATGAAAAAAGCAGCCTACATGTTCAACCATGGGAAAATGAGTTTATATCTACAATCTATACGTTTGATCAAGTGCCATCCTGCAAATCCATGATCACCAGGCCTGGCCACTGTCTCCAAGCCCCAATCCAAAATTCCCACAGAGTAGTTCCTCCAGCAATGTGGAATACTATGCTGTCGTTAACAATTACGAAACTAAACAAAAACTAAACCGTTAACACCAACCAGCTTCTGGGGGAGGGAAGATGGGATTATGAATGACTTTCATTTCCTAACAGTACATTTTTGTATTGTTTGAAAAGTTTGTTTGTTTGTTTTAAAAGTATATAATTTATTTCGTGTTTGTTTTTGTTGAGAAGATACACAGAAAAACATGCCAATTCAACAATTTCTATATGAACACTTCAGGGACATTAATTACATTCTTCAAGTTGGGCAACATTCTCACCCTTTTTCTGAGTTGTTCCTCTATTATTAACATAAATTCACTCTCCCCTAAGGTTCCTATCTCATCTTTTGAGTTGCTGTGTTAATTTGAACCCATCTATCCTGGTGTGGTGCTATAGGAAAAGCACTGGACTGCTAACTGCATTCTTCTTCTTTTAAAAAAATATTTTATTGTGCTTTCAGTGAAAGTTTACACAGCAAATTAGGTTCCTATTTGATAATTTCTACACAAAATTTTTGTAATTTTAAAACAAACCATTATTTCAGGAATGTCAAAATAATGTTTGTTGCTCTGAGAGATGTTCACATTCATAAGATACTGTTGAGTTAAAAATGCATGGTATACAATATACACAGTATGATACCATTTACTAAACGCATGTTTTGTTGTTGTTAAGTGTTGTCGAGTTGGTTCCGACCCATAGCAACCCTGTACATGGTTTCTGAGGAGCAGCTGGTGATATTGAACTACCGACCTTGTAGTTCAAACTGATTTTGCAGTCCAGTGCACGAGCCCAAAGTGCCACACCAGGACTCCTACTAAACATACATGTGGACTAAAATCCAGAATGAGACATAGCCAGTGCTCATGATGGCTATCTCTGGGTGCGGGTGGAATGGTGCATGGTCTTTGTTTTCCTTTATTTTGTATATCTGGTTTATAATTACTCTCTGGCAAAAAATGTTTTTTATTACTTTTATAATAACAGCAGATTATTTTTTTAAAAGCAGCCCCTGCAGGGTGTTGCTGAGCAGAATAGCTGGGGAGATGGCACAAGCAGAGACTCAGGGGCCCTAAGGTCTCTGAGTGGAGTTGAATCTAATCAGGGGGAGGGGTCAGTGGGCCATGGGGGGCACTAGGTAGATGGGAACTCTGGACAAGGAGGGTTGGGAAGGAGAAATATAGAACCAGGTGCAAAAAGTGAGAGCCAGGCTAGCACTCTACGGGACAGGGCTGGGGCACAGGGAGAGTAGGAAAAGGGGAAGTTGGAGCAGGAGCATGCGGGGCCTTGGTAGGTCGGGGGCTCACCGTCACCTCCTGGTAGGATTCCATGCCATTCAGCACCACCTGGATGACCTGCCGCCTCAGCTTGACACTCTGCTCTGAGCGGTACTCGGAATTGGTCAGGTAGAAGAGGGCAGCGCTGCCTGTCACCTGAATGTTCTTGTCATACTTATGGCACTTGAGGGCTGTGATGACCAGCTGTAGAAAGATAGGACAGGGGCTCTTCAAGCTGGTCCTCTAGGATAGGGCTTACCCTACCCTGCACTCTGAGGAAAGAGCAGAAACTAGAGTGGACTGTGGTTCTGGTGGTCCAACTATTGTGCTCTAGGGCCCTGGATGGAGCAAAGCATGAGGGTGGGCCTGGATGAGACCAGAGCTGAAGCAGGTTAAGTGCTACGGAGTTGGGTGAGGAAGTTGAGATTCCATAGGAAGGACTGTCAGTACCCTGGGATGAGGAAAGGGTGTAGGATGAGGACAGGATTCTGAGGATTGGGGCTGACCTTCAGAGCCCGCAGGAGCTGGTTGCAGCGCTCAATGCGAGCGATATCAAAAAGCAGGTTGATGGCTCGTGAGGTGATCTCGGGCCGATGCTCCGTGTAGGCCTCTATGGCATTCAGCACCTGCTCCTCATTTTTGTCACCGCTTACCTGGGGATTGGGCATGCTCAGAACAATCCTTAAGTGCCCAACCCAGTCATCCAGCTCAACTTCTTCTCTTCTTCAAGGTCCCCCAACCCTCCCCTGCTCCTCTCCCTGCCTCTCACTTTGTAGGCTGGAATGTGCGTGAGGCGGCATAGAGAGGTCTCAAAGAGTCCAAGGAACTGTAGTGGCCTCTTCAGAGCCCGAAATGGCATGATGCTGCTCTTGGAAGGTTCGGTGCTGGGGAAAGAAGGTTCTGGGGTTAGCGGCTTAGGGCTTGGGACTTCAACTCTTAAAAGAGAGCCTCTCCCTTTAGGTCCTCTAGCCTCATCTTGTAAATACTCCCACACTGTGCTCCCATCAGTCTGGGCACCTGGTAATTTCCCAATCATGCCTGTTCTCTGTTTCCAGCCTTAGCGCATGCTGTCCCTTCTGCTAAATATACTTCCTCTCGCAAGCTGATGACCTTTCAGGACACCTTAGATGTCTTTCTCCTGCTTCCTCCTTCCTGATTCTCAGGGCAACCCCAGAGTTCTGTATTCTTTCAACCACATCTTTTATAAATGACCCATGCCTGTCCCCGACTCATAGGAACTCTGAAAGGGCAGGGCCTGAGTCCTATCTTATCTCTAGCACCAGCCACAGTGCTTGGCAGAAAGAGAAAATGTGGTACGACCCTTAGTCTACACCCATGGAGGGTGGTTCCCAGGAGGTACCCACAGCCCCACCTGGTCTGTCCCACTTCCTCTTCCATCTTGGAGATGCTGCAGTTCTCCAGGATCATGTGGCCAGAGATGTCCAGGGACATCAGGTTTCCCAGCTTCTGCACAAAGAGGCTCAGCACCTTCCGAGTTAGCTTGAACTTGTAGTAGCTGGACAGTCGATCTCGAGAGATGTCCAGGTGTCTAGAGATGAGGGTAGGGTCACAGGTCATGAGGTAGACATAGACTGGGACTGTCTTATGGACCCCTGCACCCTCAGTCCACAACAGGGTGGGTCCATTCTTGCCAAAACTGCTCCAGGGCATTCTGGGGGGAAAGGTTGCTGGGATTCTAATGCCCTGAACAGCACTGGGTTTAAGGAATGGGACTGTTCTTCCATCCCACCCTCTGTCTGGCCAGGGTTTCACTCATGAACCTTCTGGGATTGACAACACCCCATTCCCTTCTTTCAATCCCCTCCCCTACTGCACCCTCAGTGAGGTCTGGGCTGGGTAGCTCACCGCAGCTTGTGTAGCTGAACAATGACACGGATATGGTCATCTGAGAGGTCCATGTTGTAGAGCACAAGCGACACCAGGCTGTCTTTCCACTGGGTTAGGAAGGCCGCATCGCTTGTCTGAATGCCTGAGAGGTCCAAGGCGGCTAGCGAGTTGAGTGGCCGCAGCAGGGACTCTACAGGGACCCCATCAATCATGCGGCCCAAATTGAGGAAACGTAGGCGGCTAAAGCCCTCGAAGGTAAAGTCCTTAACCAGCACTTGGCAGGTGGGGTTGACGAGGCACTCGTCTTCACAGCCCCCAGGGTTCTCTTCTTCGTAGAAAATGTTCGCACAGCCAAAGAGGCTCAGTGACACCAGGGTGTGGCTAAAGCTCTTCAGTGTCTGTAGGCTCTTGGCAGACAGCTTCTCACAGTTGGTCAGGTACAGCTCCACCAAATCCTGGTGGCAGGCACAGCCCCGTCATCACCTCTGCCCACCCACTGCCCTAGGCCTCACAGTAGGGAAGAGTTCTGAGGGGTCTGGGGATTCTTGGGGTAGATTTAAGTGGTTCTGACCTACTCTCAGTTTGACCCTTTCTGGACTAGCCTCCCGTAACATTCTGGTGTCCCGGTGAATGCAGGGCTCACCTGCTTGCGAATGGCTTCCAGATCCTGGTCCTGTACCAGGTCCTCACGGAGGTGGATGCGGGTGAGGCGGGTGCTACGGGGATCTGAGAAGAGGCTGAAGAAGCTCTCGTGTGGCTCAAAGTTGCAGGCAGCGTTGACCAGCTCCACATACCTGGGCGTGAAGAAAGGCACAGGGGAGGGGCACAGACCCTCACTCTCTCTCCAGGGCTATTTGTCCTGAAGCATTTTCTGGTCACCTCAACAGCAGTCTCCTCTTCCTTCTAGTAGTGGCTGGTAGGATCTCAACTACACTGCAGATGAGAATTCTCTGGTAATAACGGTGCCCCAGGAACCAGGAGCTCAAAGGTAGCTCTCTGAATGACTTTATGGTGATAAAGGGGCCTCTTATCAATAACAAATCCTGGTTCTTTCTTCCATTACAAACACATATAAGTATTGTCATTATTAAGTGGTGTAGAGTCGATTCTGACTCATAGTGATTCTGAGGAACAGCTGGTGGGTTTGAACTGCTGACCTTGTGGTCCAGTCCAATGCTGACCCTACAGTGTCACACCAGGACTCTATTAATCCTTCTCAAATGCACATTCCTGTCATGCATCCTTCTCCCTGAGTTGTAGCAGTAGCTCGATCCCATGCCCACATTCATTCTTCTTTAAGCTAGTTTTTGGTTCCTTTATCAACGTCCCCCCCCCCCAACTAGGACCCTTTCAAACAGGACATTAAGCCAAGTGGTTTAGAGTTCACAGTTGGATACATGGCAAGCCCTCAATAAGACCCTGTTGAGGCATGAGCTTATTATGCAAGCAGCCTGGCTGGTGGAAAGGCTTTGAAGCCAAACAGTCTGGAGTCTATATTTTGGCTTGCCTTACTTACTACATGGGCAATTTTCCCCACAAATAACTGAACTCGGTGAACCTTAATTTTTTTCATCTGTAAAATGGACATCATTCTGACCTGCCAAGTGTGTCCAGCCTAGTATCTGCTCTGCAATAACTGCTCAAAACATTATTACCAGGCTGACTCTTGCCTCAGGTCTCACACAGGTTCCTATTTTCATATGCAATTGTATGTTCTAATGATTTCCCTTCTGGGTACCTAGACACAGTTCTCAGTAGACAATGAACAGATCAGCTTCCAGGAGCCTCTAACAGTGGCGAGTCTCTCAGAGGGGCTACGTAGAGATTCTGTGAATGATTCAACCTCTGGTCATGGATCCATTTTCCAGTGCTGTCATGTAAACCTGTATCCTGGATGTTTGCATTATCACTCAGTTCATAAACTCATTAAGCTTTTCCAGACACACACAGGCACATACGCACACAAATATACCATGCACTTTTACACTTAAACATACCCATGTGCTGTATTAGCCCACAGGTGTATACATACCTTTTCCTTTATGTGTACACCCTTCCCACATACCCACACACACACACCTTTAAAGCTGTGGATATGCTAATATTCTCTTACATCCACAAATATTCATGTGTTTGCACACCCCCACATATCCCATATCTACACTCCCGCATAGTGCACACTATGGTTTGTCTCCCCACACGCTGATGTTAGACTCACTTCCCACCCCAGTGTGCTAGCCCTGCTCACTCATTGACTAGCCGGTCACAGATCTCGCTGGGCAGGAAGATGTCGGGATGTTGCCTCCGAGTTTCCTTGTCCAGTAGGTAGCCCAAGGTGCCATCCAGGTTGTGCAGGCAGAAGTCGGTGCAGAGGGACATCAAGGACTCAGGAGTGTCGGACGCCATGCTTGGGGCAGGCAGGTGAGCCACACCAGCACAGGAGCCCCCCAGGGGCAGCAGTGACTCCCAAAGTTCAAAGGATCATTGGCAGAGCTACAGCCTAGGGAATGGGAGAGGAGCCAAATAAGCCACACATACAGGCCAAAACCATCAGCCAGTAAGTACAAATTTCTTTTTGAAGTAATAGAAATGTTATTTAAAAAAAGCAAAGGTTCCTATTATTTTCATGACCTTAAGGTAGGTATGTTCTTGTTGTTAAATGCCTTTGAGTCAGTTCCATATTCACCTCTAAATAGGACTCAAAAAGCACTAACCATAAGGGGGAAAATAAAATCATGATCTGCGTCTGGTTATGCATACATATGAGAAGGACCATAGACCTAAATGTGAAAGAAAAAACAGTAAAGCTTCCAGAGGGAAATGTAGGAATATGTCTTTATAACTTAGGGTAGGCAATGGTTTCTTACCAAGGTCACAAAAAGACCATAGAGAAATAAACTATTATGGAGCAAAGTTCTACTTTGACACACATGAGATCCCCATGAATTACAATCAACTTGATGGCAAAAAAAACAATCAAAACACTTCCCAAATAGGACAACTCAAAACTGGGGAGATGATATGATAATAAGGCCAGATAAATAATGGAAAATTATGTATTTTTCAAAAGCAGCACAGTGAATTGCTTGACGTGGCTCTTTTAGCCGTGGTCTTTGTAACTTCCACCAGGCAAATGGGTGTATTTCCTCTTTTCTTGATGGGTCTCTGGGTAGGTGGGTGATGGTTAACAGGATTAACTACGATTATAAAAACTTGGAACTCTAACATGGGGGTTGGTCAGTTCTGCCATCCTGTTGTGATTTTAAATCATCCATCTCAGAAGCAGACAAGAAGTTCTCCAAGAGAGAAAAGCCAGGAGTGAGCATGTCCTTTGGACCCTGAGATTTCTACTTGCTGAATCTCTTTGATCAGGAGACAGAGCTATGACACCAGAGGAGTGGTAGCAGCAACACAAGAGGCAGAGCCAGAGCATAGAGAGAGTGGTGGATTTTCCCGCCCATGGAGCAAGGAAAGCTGAGTGCTTTCAGACAGGAGGCTAGCTTGCAGAGTGGGTTGCCTCCAGGCACTTAATTGGGGGAGCTAGGTTTGCTAATCCATGGAGTCCTGGTGTGATGCTGTGGAATAAAGCATGGACTGCAAGGTTGGTTTGAACCACAAGGTCAACGGTTCAAACTCACCAGCCGCTCTTTAGAAACCCTATAAAGGGTCGCTATGAGTCAAAACCTATGGCACTTAACAACTTAACAACAGGTTTGCTCGTCCATGGAGATAGAGCTGAGTGCCTTCAGACTGACATTTATGGTGGCATACCCTTCGTGCATTTATCAGCAACACTAGAAGAGCTTTGTAACATTGCCAGAACAGGGCAGAGGCCTGCCTGCAGCCATGGCTGAGAAGAGGATGTCCTATTTGTGAGTGTTAGCTATGAGTTCTGTGTGGTCACTGAAATGATTTTTTTAACCCATCAGAGAAATAAAGAGTGCCATGGGAGAGATGGTTGGTGTCAGAATTGGTGAAGAAGGGTGGAGGGTGATGGCATGTCTGACTTAAGTCTCATAGGAACTGGCTTTGGATTGATGCTGATGGTGATTCTCCTTCCCCCTGGTGAAGGAAGAGGAGGTCAGATGATGCCTTCAGCCCACTTTCACAAATGCGTAAATAATTCTTCACATTTTTGTGGTGAACTATACCATGCTTAGAAAAGCTTGCATTAAATGTTTTAAGTTTAAATGATAACATTTACATAAAATTGTAAGGACTGGGTCCCCACAGTAATAAATACACTTGACCCTGACTTCATTTCCTAACTATTTCCACAGGTGACCACTATCAGGAATTCTGTGGTCATTTCTTTACAGCTTCACCATGTGTTATTTGATTTTGCCTCTTTTGTACTTTATATGAAGATATTAATGAATTCACACTGATCTCTTTGGTTTCTTTACTGCAGTTTGTTTCACATATGCTGGTGTCTGACTAAGGCTATTATCTCATGCGTTCCAGTGCTGACAGAATTGGGGTTGTTTCAAGCTTGTTTTTTGTTCTTGTGGACAGTGCTGCTCTAATCATTCTCATGCTACTGTCTGGAGACCTAGGCATAACAAACTGTCTACACATTTGAGAGAAACTGCTGGATGCATATTAAAGATAAGTTCAAATTGACTAGGAAATGCTGATGAAGTGTATGAATGGACCTTCCCATGCTTCATGTGTATGTTTATTTTTCCACATGACTGGCAACATTGGAATTACCAAATTTAGTAAATTTTGGCAATCTAGTGTGTATCTGGTGGGAGCACAGTGACTCCATATGATAAGCACTGGACTGCAAACCACAAGCTCCGCGGTTCAAGCCTACAATCAACTATGTATGTGAAAGTTAATTGTGCTGTATACACTTACAAAAATGTATATTATAATTCAATAAAAAGTTAATAAAATACCTCCATAACTCTGAGACCAGAATAAACAGATGATGCCCAGCTATCATCTGAAAGGAATCAGTTTAAGGTTTTGGATAGAGTGGTAGGAAAAAGTAGAGCAAAATTCAACATCATAAAAAAAGACTAGACTTACTCATGGAACTCCTAAGACTATGGCCCTTAGTCACTTTAAGGCTTGGAATACAACTAACCACTCTGGCCCAATTTTCAGTCAAATGATAGGTCTATAAGTGAATACCAATATCAGGGAGGTATGCACGCTTTAGAATAATCAGCCATTTAAGATCAAAGGAGCAGCTTTTACCCAAGGATAAGAAGGCAGGAAAGGTTAGGAAAGAAGGAGGAAGGGAACTGGGAAATACAGGGAGGAAGTGGGAAAAGTGATGTCATATTGTGGGGATTGCAATCAATGACATGAAACAAAATGTGCATAAATTACTGAACGGAAAACTGATTTGTCCTATAAGCCTTCACCCAACTCACAATAAAAGGTTAAAAAATAAGTTAACAAAATGGTCTAGACACCAAAGAGGCCCGTGAAGGGATTCCGGATTTAGTCAAGTGATAAAACTCTCTGACAGTACATCCCCATGCTAGGTGGCGAATGGAAAATGAAAACCAAATCTTCACATTTAAACAGAGTAAATAAGAAAATAATTAACCTTTATGGAACCAAGAGCAGTCAGGAATGAATCCCAAACAAATATTTTCCTACCAGGGTTTACATGGGAGGGTGGGTGGGATGAGAATAGGCAAAACTAATGGGATCCTGGTGTGGTGCTGTAGGATAAGCACTGGACTGCTAATTGTAAGGTCAGCAGTTCATACCCACCAGCAGCTCCTAGAAAATGTTATACAGGGTATCAGTTGGAAGTGAATTCATGGCACTTAGCAACAATCTAAGGTGTTGGAAGTCAGGGTAGTGATGACCTTTGCAGGGAGGCAGTAATTAAGAGGTGGCAGACTGCTGGGACAGGTGTGTTCACTTGTGAAAGGTCACCCAACTGTACACTTAGGTTTTGTGAGCCTTTGTCTGTTTTATACTTTTAAAAAGTTAAAAAATTAAAAGTGTGGGTTCTGTGGTCAGACAGATCTATGTCCCAACCTAGTTCCACAATTCTCTGATTGGTAAATTGCTTTACCTCCCTGGACCTTGGTTTCCTCATATGGAAAACAAGGAGAATAACCAATCATAGGGCTGCTGGAATAGATGAGATAATGTTGGGAAAATGCATAGTTCTAGGCTTGGCATACACTAAACTAAGAAAACCAAACCCATTGCCACTGAGTTGATTCTGACTCAGAGCAATCCTACAGGACAGAGTAGAAGCTGTTCCCAAGGATTTCTGGGGTTGTAAATGCTTACGGGAGCAGACAGCCTGATCTTACTAAGAAAACAAAAAGTAGTGGTTAACACAGAGTAGACAGGGATGGGCAACTTGGACATTGGCTACCCAAAATGGGAGGGGGGCCTACAAAGGCAAGAAGTGACTGGCTTACAAGCTTTCAAGAGGGAACCTAGAGCCAGGGGAGCCTGGAGGAAGGCAGAATCTCCAGTGAGTAGTATCCAATCTGCCTAGGCGGAGTTGATGAAATGAAATGCAGATGGGTCTCTTGTGATACAATAGTGAATAATTGTTATCAGGACTGATTGTGAAGGTTGGAAATGTAAAGGTACACATTTTATAGCAAGGAAGGGAGGGAATAACTTTTCAGTCTAGGAGCGGAGGTCCCTAGGACCATCAACGGAGAAGAGCCAAGAGCGGGACCATACCCAGAGAAGCAGTGATGCCTGAGAAGGAGGCAGAGACAATGATGTGGAGCGATGGAACAGCTGAGAACTTTAGATCCAGAGGGGGAGAGCGACTGTGTGCTGAGGCCTGGGGTGGAGGTGGGGGAAGGGATAGTGTAGGGGGCAGGCTTGCAGAGTATATACCCTTTGGTCGGTTGATGATGCATGGAGGGGATTGTAACCATGGCAATGATACGATGTAAGATAGAATGAATGTAAAACTAATGTTCTCCCACGTAAACTATCATATAATTCACAAAACACTTAAAAAAAAAAAAAAAAGTAGCGGTTAAGATCTCATCTTAGAGATGAGGAAACTGAAGATCAGAGAGAGAAGGTGACTCTGTACAAACCAGGATTTGAACCTGTTCTCTCCTACTCTGTCACACTATCGCTTGAGGGGTTCTGAAGGAGTTTAGGGTCCAGCATTGCACTTGGCTTCTCCATTTGGATGTGGGTTTTTCAGGCTGCGCAGGAATCCCAGTGGAAAGCCATAGAGCATTGTGAACAATGGAGTAAGCCAATTCTGAGTTCAAATTCTTATACTGCCACTTAGAGTATATGTATATACACATGAATCTGGGGAGGTGTCTTTACTTCTCTGGACCTCAGTTTCTTTCCTAAAATAAGAATAGTAACAGTACCCTTCCCATAGAGCTGTAGATGACTCATAACAATGTAGAAAGGGCTTAGTATCCTGCCTGGCATGTAATATTTGCTCAATAAAGGCAGCTATTGCTATGATAATCATTATCTATTTCACCTGCTCTGGCCCACATAGAGCAGCATTGGCCTCAGCTCAGC